CTGTGTACATCATGTTGTGATATATTTTGGTGCCTACAAGTTAGTTGCACTTCCCAGCCAAAAAGGAGGGAAAAGGTTGATCTTCATGAATGCAATGTGCAGACGTGCACACACACGTGTACACACATAGCTGCAATAGTAACAGTGAGAATTTCGGAAATTTGGTTTATGGAGAAGGAAATTTATATAGGGGCTGAAATGAACATCTAACTAGGCTTAGACAGCATCACAGAATCCTAGAGAGAAGCATATGCTTGCGGGAAATTTCTGTAAGTATATTCATGTCTCAAAATAAAGGTTCAAGAGCATTATATAGAGTTCTGCTAGGCTGGCTACTAAATGTAATTCATGAATCCCAACTATAAAATGATACATACATGGCACCAACAATTATTAGGAACTACAACGATGCAATTTCTAGAAGCAAAACCTAAGAAAAACCCTAGGTAACAGAAGTATGTCATGATTCAATTGATGATTTTTATCATCTATGATTGAAGTGCTATCTGAAAGGGGTCCACCTTTCCGTTTGACAAGATACTTTTGGTGACCCTCTCCTCTAGTTGAGATAATCTGATCACCCACACCTGAATTTTCTTATTCAGTTGTGGGGAGATGGAAGATGAGCTTTTGAACATTTGGTCATGCCTCCTTTGGTAAAGGAACTAAGTCAATGGGCTTCCGAGGGAGTAATGCACTATCTCAAAGGTGTTGTAACCTTTTGACCTATTCCCTGGCCACATATGAAATGCAGGCGGCATGTCCAGCATAATTGTACTGATGTTATTTATGGTGTAACTGCTTATAAGCATACGCCAGATGCCATGTATTTCGGTATCATCAAGGAGCGGAGAGCACATGGACTAAAATTGGTATAAATCAATCCTTGATCAGCAGCTCATCTACAAGACCATTAAATTCCGCATGTTTCACTTGGATTCATACAATCTTCTTTAACCTTTGGAAGTTGATGACATGCTCTGATATAATGCACTAGAGGAAGTTAATTGGGTAGTTCTTGAGGATTCACATAGGAGAAGTCGCCCAGCAGCTTACTAACTTCTTTCGACATTTGGGAAGTAGCAGTTGCTGATTTCTTGACTCATTTCATTTTATAAAATTATAACTCCAATTCCCTTGCTTTCCAATTGGAGCCTCTTCTTGGTAAGAATGGAGGGAATTCTTCATGATTTTCTTCACCTTATTATATTATGCATTTCAGCATCACTCATTGGCTTCAGCATGATGCTTTTGAGTTTTTTTTTCCCTTTGGGTGTGGGGTGTTGGTAGGGCTCCGTTCCTTTGGGTGTGGAGGGTTGGGAGGGGTTTGTTCCTTTGTAGTCCTGCTTGGCTTTTGTGAGTGGCAGTACTGCTACTCTGAAATGCACTCTGTCTTGGATCTGAATTTTTTCAATTGTTCATGGTTTTCAATATAATTTTAGGGTTGCCGCCAGTTCAGAAACATTTTCTTAATAATATTTATTCTGGTTTGCATGCAGGCACCAGAGCTACTTGATTTGCTATTTTATGAAGGTGTGCTTTGTTTTTCATAAGAAACTTATCTTTTAGTTTATAATGTATTTATACTATAGTTTAATATTGAGTCTAGTGGGTTGGTGCTTTTGTAATCAGTGGCAGATTACAATTATTCACCTGTCGTGCAAAGGGAATGGTATCATCTATTAGAGAACTTTCTAATTAAAGTTTCTTCTGGGTCTTTCTTTTGGTGCATAATCCTAGTGTCTGTCCTCTGGTTTCAAGTTGGTTTATTATTTGTTTCTAGGTTCCCGTATGGTTCTAATTTGAGCCCCTATTTGTTTCAAATTTTGGGGCCCCAATTGAATTATTGTGACCATCCTCTTTCTAAGAAGGTTTCCATTTGTTTTTTCTTTTTCATTATTAAGTTCCAATGTAGTTTTCAAGTGTCCATACAAAAGGTGTCTTACTAAAATGAATAGACTTAATTTATGGATACCTCCTTTGCTTTGCAAGACATCCAGCCATTGTCCTGTGCAACTGTCCTGATCAAAAGACAGCCATGACTTAAGTTATGGTGTTAGTCTTTGGCATTTATTGTTTCTCATGTATCATTTTGCTGAGGATATTCAATGGGCAAGTCACTTTTGTGCTACATGGTTTTAGTCTCTATGCCAGTACAGTCAATATTACCAATTTTGTGCATCTTTTGGTTCAGCTACATTTCAATGACGTAACCTACTCTTTTATTATGCAGGATCTAAACTATTGATTCGTGAGCTTCCTTCTATATTTGATGGATCGGCTAAAGTGAAAGCACAGCCCCAGGATGACTTCAAAGCTACCTTAGCTCCCAAGGTACACCTTGCAGTTGAAATGACTAGTATGTTTTGGGATAATCAATATTTGACCAATTATTCTGCTGCAGCAGACTGGGGCCCATTATGCTTTCTATGGTCACAGGTTATTTTAAGTTTAAGTTCATTTTTCGTTTTACATAGATTGCTTCTGAGGAGTCGTGGCTATCCTTCGATGAGGAAGCTCCAGTCCTACATAATAAGGTATGCTCTCTTCTTTTCCTTAAATTGGATAACAGAGTCATGACTTGCAACCTCTTTAGGTTCGTGCATTTGCAGGGTGGCCTGGAACTCGAGCTAAAGTTGTAATTGTTGACAACAAAAGTGGTCAAGACAAAATCACGGAGCTTAAAATTATCACAACGAAAGTTTGCAGCCGTAGCAATATTCAGGTCAATCAAGCAGATGAGATCACTTTTATAAAGCCTGCATTAGTATTTCCATGTGGAGGGGGCACAGCCCTTGAGGTGCGTTCTGTCAATTTTTGTTATCGTCTAGTATTTCTGCTAGCTTAGAGGTCAAAATGCAGACGATGTGCTCTTGCATTTTTATTTGCCGAACTGATTTCTCTTTGAGCTATATATTTGTTGTCCAAGGTTTTATATTCCAACACCGTCTTCGAGTTTTTTTCTTTTTCTTTTTTTTAATCTTCTACCATTGAATTATGGGATCTATAATCGAACTGAAAAGAGTACTGCTAACCTCACTATATTTACCAAATTTTGTTTACAAATCTAGGCCCACTTCGAACCTCTTTTTTTTAATTTTTAAATTTAATTTAATTTAATTTTTTAACTGATACGTGAACACCTCATTCATTTCGGTGAGCCTAACATTATTGATCCAAAAATACATCTTCTGCATTTGTCTTCGTCTTCAATCTAAAATACATATTGGAAAAGGCAGATATACGATGATGAGATTTTTTGATCAATTCTCAAGCAAAACGTGCACAGCACTTGTGACCTGATAATTTTCGTGCATTGACAATTTATCTAGGTGTTGGAGATTCAGCTTCCAGGTAAGAAGGTGATGAGTGCAGCTGCCTTCTGGAATGGTGTGCGTGGCCAAAAGCTGAAGATATTAAGTGCTGCTTATGTAAACGATCATTTAAGTTAAGTTTACAATTTTGAGCAAATTCATCGAGTAACGTTGTCATTATCGGTAATTTAATTCTTTTGATTAATTTTATTGGAAATACAAGTAACATAATATGTTATCCACTGAAATTCTTTCCTGTATTTGTCTCTAAGTTAATTTTATTTGAAATGTATGTAATTATTCTCAGTTATGGTGATTTTATTTTTAGCAAATGGCAAAGGTAAGCACACGTTTGGCTCCTTACTTAAGAGTCTTTCATCTTTACTTGTAAATCAAAGGTGCATACAAGAATACAAGTTTCAGCACACATGTCAAACTTTTGTAAGAAGCAATGACTCTCTGTGTGTACGAAACTAGGTATTTTTCTAGAGATAAAACTGATCAAATGTAACATCTACTTCTTTCTCTAACTTGGGAAGCAACCATTTGGAGGCAACAATGTACATGATACAAAAGTAGTCCAGCCCTTGAAAATGGGTTATCCTTTTACTCCCACCATACTTTCTTTCTCTGGGGGCTCCTCTATCCCGACCTTCCATTATTCTGATCCAAGAATGACCCTAACATTTTGTATGTCCACTTGCTGGCAACAAGAAGGGATCGCCACCGGCTTCATCTTTCTTGTGGATTTGGCCCTTTTGACCGCTGGCTCATCTGATGAAGGGACCGAGGATTTTTAGTAAGAGGAGCATGCTGTCTCACTTCCTCTTGTACATCCACCGCTCATCTGCAACCACTGATGGTTTGACAGTCTTAGTTCTCCGAGATTCAGCCCTTCAGTTGAACACATTACTTTGGCCGGAATTTCCTCACACACAACGTACACGATATATTACATGTCATATTTTAACTAGATTGTTTAGTCACTCAGTCATGCTATCTAACACGAACAGCCTTCATGCGTCTCTTTAACTAGTTAAAATTATAGCTAGTTTGGCAGCCGGTGGCCATATTGTTATTTCTAAATAAAATTTGAACGGCACAATCCTCACAATCATGCCTTCAAAATAAAGGACACTTCCATTGTCCAAACCGCCAAAATATAAAATGCCTATACGCATTTTCTTAAATGTGATTTTTATCCTAGCAATTTCTAGAGAACATTTGCTGCTATTCCTTTGGATGAATACAAATGCATGTCTCACAAAACGATATTTCGAACATTTTTAAATTTGTAAAAAGAGAAAACAAATCTTTCAACTCATCTTTTTCCCCCTATAATTCTGGATAGATTGTACCAATGGAACCCATTATTGCGGGCTCTTCTCTTATAAATAATTTAAAAGCAAAGCCACAGTCATTGAACAGAATAAATTAATGCAAAGCATACATAAAAGTACTTTACAAAAATTTCCGATTAAAAGTGCCGGTTTTTGGTACACATCTTCTCAAAGCCTCTTCAAAGAGTGCTTTCAAAATGCTAAAAGCACTTTCTGATAACCAAAAGTTAAAAAAGAAAACAATTTTTCAGACAGCAGAAATGCTTCCTCCAGAATGTGACTATATAAATACAAACTCTCGCAGCATATCACTCATATCTCTCTCTCTCTCTCTCTCTCTCTCTCTTTGCTTTCTCCTACAGAGAAGAAAAAATGGGTGCTCTTGATTATCTTTCCAACTTTTGCACTGTCACCAGCACAAGGAGCAAGCGCAAAGCAATGCAGGTACTCATTATTATTATCACCCACCATGCCCCTTAATTAGTATCGCTTTTATTTTTTTTATTTTGAAGAATATCCTTCAGATATCTGGGTTTTTTTTTTCATTCTCTCAGACAGTTGAGATCAAAGTCAAAATGGATTGTGATGGCTGTGAAAGAAGAGTCAAGAACGCTGTTACCTCCATGAAAGGTTCCCTCCTTTTTTCATATCAAAGCTTACTTTTGTCCTTGTAGTTGCAGTTTTGTGGCATGTCCAGAGAAGCAATCAGAACAAATGCATGTTGAAGGAAAAAAAAAAAAAACAAAACCATATTTGAGGTTGAAGTCTCTGAAATGGTGAAACTGAGCATGTCAAATTTCATGCTTACCTGGAGAAGTCGGAGGTGGGTTTAATTAAAGTTAAGAAATAAAAAGAAAACACAAGAGTTCGTTTGAGTTTCTTTTTTTCAATAAATAAATAAATAATTAAATATAATTGGAGGTCTACCCAGAACATATAAAATTTTCTCAACAATTAATTATTATTATGTGTTCAACAAATTGTCCTAGGAAATATTAATCATCAAGCTCATCAAATTGCGCGTTAATTATAAGTCTTCCTTTTTTCTATTCTCTTATGCCTTTTATAAAAAGATTTAAGAGCAACTCTGCTTTGATCCTATACTCTTACAGAACTGTTTTATTAAATTAATTCGATTGTTCATTGTTCTATGCTATATAAAGTAAAATATGTAACTGTAAAATCATACAGATGCACCGAAAATTCTCCTATGATGACGTTTGGATGTTATTATTTTGTAGACGCTGTGTATTTTGTACTACCCCTCCATCTTTCCTCCATGTTTACTATGGCGTCTGCACGGTTATAATTAACGGGCAAACCTCCGAATGAGAGAATAACTGCACATGCACAATTAACAATTAATAGGGTTTTATTTTATCTGTTGTGTATAATATTATTTAGGTGTGAAAGCTGTGGAGGTGAACCGAAAACAAAGCCGGGTGATTGTGAGTGGGTATGTTGAACCAAACAAGGTGTTAAAGAGGGTAAAAAGTACAGGCAAGAGAGCTGAGTTTTGGCCGTACATTCCTCAACATCTGGTACACTACCCTTACGCCTCTGGAGTTTATGACAGAAGGGCACCAAATGGGTACGTCAGAAATGTGGTTCAAGCTTTTCCGGCCTCCATGAATGGCCCTGAGGAGAACATGGTCTCCCTCTTCAGTGATGATAACGTCAATGCTTGTTCCATAATGTAGTAAGCCCTAATAATAATTCATTCAGGCAAGAGCTGCATAATCATGCACTTTGTAAACTCTAGTTTTAATTAGTTTGTACAATTGGCAATGGAATTGTCTCTGTGGAATTGTCGTGTGTTGTTATCGATGATCTACGTATTATAATATGAGTAAGCGACTAGTTTATACTATATATATAAGTGGCTTGTAACAAAGCGTGATAGTGTGTATTGATACTAAACAATAATTTCTACTTTTACAATATTATAATAAGCATATAATATAATCATCGCATCTCCACTTAATATGTTGTATTTAAAATGGATATTCAATATGGTATTAGAGCAATTAATTAATGTATATATTCACCAAATAGCTCTATTCACATTTTTCTTCTTAACAGATCCTAAGGTCGAATTTCTTCTCCCCAGTTGATAAAGAAATATATAGATTTAGAAATTGAAGGTTTAAGAATCAATCTATTTCATTTCATTCAACCGTTGCTTTGATCCCAAAAATAGAAAGGAAAAAAGAAAGAAAAGCATTGCATTTAACTTGGTCTGTTTTAATCCTACTGGACGGGCTATTACTATCAATAAACACACCAATATTTGTTTTACGTGTAGGTAATGGAATGGGGAAACTAATTAAGGACAAGATGGTTCTGAAAATTTGAAGTGCAGAATAACACATATATCATATATATATATATATATATATATATATATATAGCTTTCAGTGAGGAATTCCTCAAATAAGTTTATTTGAGGGACATCCTTATAGGACCCATTCTGTATTGTATTTCGTTAATTAAACTGTCTATTTTTTAGATAATCATTCAAAGACCATTTCTACAAAAAATCACTTGAATCCGATATCATTTGACCACTCAATTGAGTTATTGAAATTTTAGTACTTTTTTAAAATACTATGTTCATTAATTTTGTATGACACAACAATTGGATATCAAAACGGTTTTCGATTTGTGTAATTTACTTGATATCATAAACAATACTTAAACTAAACAAATAATTTACACCTCAAACAAGGAGCGTTACTCAAGCCACAAAAAGTCTTTGCTTGGCCTAATAATTAATGTGCTACACGGTGTTCATCTTTCAACGACATATCCCTGAGTTTTGGCTTTAACATAAATGGAGTGACATCATGGTATTTATTCAGAAAATATAAATTGATAAAGATCTAGTAGTTTTGTTAATACAAATTCGAAACACAAAGGGCTCGAGCTCGTTTGATAACACTTTCGCTTTTAGTTTTTACTTTATCTTCACTACATCATTGTAGCTAAGTACAATTTAATTAGTGTCACATTTTGGCTTCGCATGCTGCATGTCGCCGTTAAGCATGATTAAATAATGACAATTGGAGACAGCAAATAGATATATACTCACTTAATGCCAAAAAAGGAGAATGATTATAGGAAGCACCACCATTTGTTTCGAATAATCTTTTAATTATTTTAAACAAAGATTAGAGTAAATCTTAGGCCACTAGAAAAAGGAAACTTCTATTAGGCTCATGATCCTTGTTAAAGCCATCTCAGCTCTGCCTTTACCAATCAAACTGACTTTAAAATAAGCTCCACTAAGTCGTTATCATTTTTTTTTAATCTCAGAAAAGCATTATTAGATGAATTAAAGAAATATATGATCTTGGGATCTTAAATCGTAATCAAATAAGGTTAGATATTTGTCTTTAATTATATTTTGTCATTCATTGATCTTCTTCTTCTTTTTCTTCTTTATTTTCCAATATATTTTGTGAGTAATTAATCTTACCAGAAGAGGATAAGATATACTGATGATCATTAGCACCGTCCAATCGGCCGATGTCGGGGAATTTTTTTGACCAGAAGTCAAGTCAACACGATTTATGTTCTTGTCTTTGATATCCAAAGCGAATAAAAATAAAACATGATCCTAGGAACATCCATGTATTCAGGGGATGGCAAAGAAGATTGAAAATATATCGTTCAAACGTACCAAGATCGCTTTGAAAACAATCTTCTCTTAACCGAACCAACTACTAATTATATTAATCTTTCAGATATTAATCAGTAAAGCGATCACATAACTCGAAATCCGCCGACATGAAATTAGTAGGTTTGGGTTGATCGTCACTTGACTTGAGCACGATTATGATACGACCTGCTAAATATGACTAAATAACCCAAACCTCAGTCCACCCCAAAACTCGCTTGTTGACATTACCAAACGATTATAGATTTTTAGGCGAACTATACGATTATAATCGAGTTGGGTTAATGTTGAGTTCTTAAACACGTTCACTATTTTTGTACACAAAACAACTCGTTAGCACGAATTGACAGCCTAAACAATGCTGTCATGGTTCAATAAAATATGCCATGACACAAAGTAATCTCTCCCTAATCCCAATGCTTTAGGGCAACATACCTTTATTTTCCTTTCTCCACTCTCTTTTCGCCCCAGCAAAAGTTTGATGTAAGAACTTCACACAATCAGGATCTCATGATTCAAAAAACTCAAAAAGATGGCCCACAATATGAAGGCAGAGGAAGGAATTATTGGCTTCTTTTCCTTTGATGTATCCAGCTATTATATTCACTAGGGTTTTCAACCATCATGATGAAGAAAGATCCCTTTCATTTGAAAACTGAAATGAACCCAGAGAAGGGCACAAAGTACTTACTTGCCAAGCACCTTTGTGTATCTTTAAGCTCATAGTTCTATGGTACACACTACAAGTCTAGAAAGAGAGGAATCATTAACTTTCTTTTTTTTTTCTTTTTCTTTTTTTTTTTGGTAGACAACCCATGAGCTTTAATTGACTGTCTGTTGCATGATAAAAATATATAAAATCATTAAAAGCAAAAACTCTCATTGCAAATGAACATTAGCACTGATGATAGTGATCTAAAAAAGTTGAAATTTTTTATTTATATTTGTAATCTAAGAAATTGTACAATTTTGGAGCGTTTGATGTTGCGTATGAAGTGAGTTATGTTTGTATAAAGCCAACTTTGGAAGACATGCTGATTTTTTTAAGAAATGATAAACTTTTTAATTAAAAAAGTGAGGTGCACTAGAATGTTGGGTGAACTCACATAAACTGTTAATTAGAGGTCTAATTAAATACTGAGTTATTGAATGTCTCATGTATGGACTACAAATATAAATTTTTATATTAGCTATATGATTTATCTGAATAGTAACTTCACTTAAGTTTAATGAAATAATTTTGCGACTAAATAGAGATTCACATGAGGAATCTAAGAGGGGCTCAAATTCAAGCCCAAAGAGTTCAAACCCATTTTGTGGATCAAAAGAAGGGTGATCCTTAGGACATGCAAAAATAATTTCTTAACACCCAAAACAAAACAGTTAAAAGACAAAAAGAAAAAATATATATATATTCAGCAGAATTAAAAAATGTAAAAGAACTGCACATAAAAAAAGATAAAACAGAAGACTCAGCCCCTGCCAAGCAGAAGACATTTCCATGCGTCAAATCTTGATTACTTGTGCAGAGAGACCGCTGAATTTGATGGGCTACATGCGTACAAATTGTTTGGGCCAACCACCATTTAAATGATATGTAGGCTTGGGCAAATGGCCTCTTCCAAGTTTTGGGCCTTACCAATTCAACCCACTTAAATATCCGAAACTCGAATTCATATTCATAAGGGCAATTTAGTATTTTCATAGAACTAGCTAAGTTCCTAGTCAATTAATTAATTCTTAGGGCCAGTTTGGCATTGCTGTGCTGTGAAAATAATTGTTGTCAGATTTGCTGTGAGAGAAAGCAGTTTGATGTTTGGTAAAATTTTTATTAAAAGTGTTGTTGGTATTGATTTTCCGCATAATCAAAAAATGATTGCCGCATAATCATTAAACCCAGCGCCTCTTCGAAACTGATTCCTGCATAATCATAAAATGAAAGCACCTCATTAGTTGTTTTTCCTTATGGTGCGTTTGGATGAGGGAAATAAACTTGGGATTTCGACAAAACTCAGAATTTCTAAATTGACATGAACAAATTCCCGTGTTTGGATAAAAAAAACATAGAAATTTAGAAATTCAGTGTGGGAAAAAACATAAAATTTGGAGATCATAAATCCCAACTTTAAATTCTATCTAAAAGTCGTCATTTCTAAAATCCCAAGAGATATTGAGTTTTCAAAAAAGATAACTTTACAAATAAAGGTTAAATTTCATATTTTAAATCAGTCACCCAAACAAGAAACTTTACAAATTCTAGAACATTAATTTCTGTTATTTTAAATTTCGTCATTTATTAAATCCTTTGCACTTTTAAATTTACTCATCCAAACACACTGTTATAGCTTTCTCTTATAGTAATTTTTAACAATAAGTGATTTTCTCACAGTTTACCAAACGAGTTAGGCTTCTCAAATTTTTTTTAAAATCACTTATGACCCCAAATAAGCAATGCCAAACTAGCACTTACTCATCAAGTTAAACCTTTTGTCTTAGGGGTCTCAATTACAAAAAATTTACAAGGAAAATAGTTATTTACATTGACACCTCTTAAGATTTTTAGTGTGTTATCACAAAATTCCTAAGTTTCTAAAATTATATTAAAAACTTTTTCCGTTAGTTTTTCGTCCAAAAGTTATTTATATCATAAAACTAAGTTTCTCCAAAACCTCAAAGAGTAGACCGTAGTGGCATCTATGAGGTGTGGCTTACTGGAATTTTCTTGAGGGCTGCATGGATAGTATATGTTAATTTTTTTTACTTGGGTAGATTGTACAACTTCTATGAAATAAGGTGTAAAGCCAAAAAATTAATAGTGAATTATTATTTTTTATCTCAAACCTTGCACTAGCTAGGCTAGGGCTATCTTATCCATAGTGTAGTCTCACTCTTGGTGTAGATGCCTCTATAGAGCGAAATGCTTTTTGAGATTCGAAAATTTTCCTTAGTTTCTAAAATGGTTTTAAAAGCAAGGAATGGAGACCTAAAATGGTTTTTTTAGCTTTATAAAGGAATCCGGATTCTCTATTTTGAGTTCCTTGCGAAAATATGCTTGAGTTCTATTATTCTTCACATGTCATTTGAATTCGTTTAAATATCATCTCATGACTAAGAAATTCACCACTAAT